AAAATATAGGTACTTTATCAACTGCTGGAAATTTCTTTTGTATCTGACGTAGAACCGATTCAAGATTTTTATCCAGAAGAAAAGCTGGTTTAGATTTTGTTTCAGCACATGCCTAAAATAAATATGTCACATTCATATTACAATCGAAATCTTTTTTTTTTTTCTTGACGTCTTTATTATATTTCGTTTGATTTAGTGCAGAAGCTTTTTTAAAATATCAAATCTGAAAGTTTGAATTCCTTTATATTATTAAGCCAAGGCTAAACATCGAGCAGCTAATAATAATTTAGCATAATCGAAAACATATAGGGTACAAACTATTGCAAATACAAAATCTAGCAGTCACATACATATCTTCAATTAAAATCAATTTTTTTCATAACATAAATGACTTTCTGTTTAAAAAAAAGAACGAATGATATAAAAACTTTTCGTTCAAAATACTTACTGAAGGCTGGAAACGTGTCTTGCACTCGAATTTCGAAATTTTTAGGAATATTATGTGTGAGTGTAAGCAACATGACACGAACTTTCTAGTGCTATGAAAATATTCGACTTATAAAACTACAGATTCTATTAGGAAATAGTTTTATTCGATGCTTGGTTTTTCCTCTATAAGATTCAATGAAGTTTTTCTCATTATGTCTAATATTCTGTTTTATATATATAATGTACTTTTGTACAGAGTTCACTAAACTCAAATTGAATATGAAATATGAAGATTCAATAACGTCGATTGCTAGAAAATATCGTATTAGGTATGAGCAATTTTTTTTTCTAGCTACAGTCATTAGAAAAATGTCGATTTCGAACTCAACTAATAACTTGAAAACTTTATTTTTATCTGTTTATAATATCCTATCGTAGCGCTACAAAATCCGATGAAAGACGAACAATAAGACCAACTTTTTTGGCTTTCGATAAATATTTCGCAACAAATATTTTCACACAACTTTGTCGAAGAAAATTTTCTCTTTCTAACAAAAAAAACTATTAAGTCTCCATGACGAATTGTTTAGTTAATTTTTCAAGCTTTACATATCAATTACAAAAAAAAATGATGTATATTTCTTTTTGATGAAACAAATAATTTACTTTTTTAATATTAAATATTCTTGTTAACATTCCAATTCCTCTATCATTAAGAATTGTTAATTTTTCAGCTAATTTTTGTTGATGAGGATTAATTTGATGAGCCATTCTCTTAATCTAGAAAGAATAAAATTTTTGCAAAAAAAGATTAAAAAATAAATAGATGTTTTAATCATTCAATTTGTTAATAACACCAAAAAAAAGAAAAAGAAAAATGGAAAAATTAATATGAAAGACAATCAAATATTGTTCTGTATCACAAAGGTAAAATTGGTACATCAAGTAAAGATTTCATTAAATTAGTTCCATTAATAAAATGTGTCGTTGCAATAATAAAATCATGATTTTGATCAGCTAAAAATCTTAATGCTGCAATTTCTCCATATGTTACACCACCAATAAAAACAACTAAAGTTACTCTTGATTCTGTAGCTTGTTGTTGTTGTTGAATTTGTTGTTTATTTGGTTTATTTAATGAACTAATTGATGTTGTTGAACCATGTCTTTGTCGTTTTAATTCCATAGGTACTTGTTGTGTATCAATAAATGTTATACCAGGTAAAATATTCATTGTATCTTGAATATTAATTGCTGTTGGAAAAACAATTTTTTCTATTAAACGTATACTTATTGGTGCATATTGATAGTAAATATAAAAAATATCTTGTGGATCAATAACATTTATTGTTTGTTCATCTTGTAATAAATTAAATTCACGTTTTAAACGTTCAAAATTTGTTTCATTTGTTTTTATTGATGATGTACTTTTACCTATATCAGGTACTACTAATATTCCAACTTGTTCAAGTGCATGTATTAAAACAAGATATTGTAAACCATATGTTTGTATAAGATCTTTTTTTATTAAATCATAATCTTTACGTTTTAATTGTGTACCTAATGATTGTGTTATTATTGATAAATAACGTAATATACAAAAAATATTATCTTTCAATGCAATTCGTTCATCTGTATGATGTAATCCATCTTGTAATGTTGGTGAAAATAACATTGATAATTGATTTGATAAATACATATCATACATAGATGTTAATTCTTGTTTTATAAAAAATGCTAATTCAAGATGTGTTGATAATGTTTGAGTTTTAGCATTTTGATTTGACATTCGTGTTACAAATTCACGTAATTCAGCTAATTTTTTACCTTGAATATTTGATGCTGAACCAGAAAATTGATTATCAAAATCAGTACGTAATTGTCGTTGAGCACGAGCACCTTCTTGAAGTATTTTACCAACTGATATCATATGTAAATAACGTGTATCAGAATATAATTTATCAGTACTTAATAAACGAACAGCAACTTTTTCTTGTGTAGTTATATCAAGTTTTTGAACTTCACGAAAATCAGGACTAAATGATGATGTTGGAACTTCAATACGATTAAACTGAATGCCTTAAAAAGAAAACAAAATACGAATAGATATTTTTTTATTTTGTTATTATAAGAAAATATTAGGAACTGATTTCTTCGTTTTTAAATATGTATTTAAATTCTAGTTTTGAACTTTTCAAAAATCTTGTCAATCAGTTCTCTACTATTATCAATTCGAAATAATTTATTATATAGCGTAATTTTTTTATTCAGTTAGAAGAGAAATCTTCCAACTGATAAATTGCTTTTGAGTCTAGATTATGTCCATTATGTAGACTCAAATGAGGTATGAATACTCTGAAAAGTATTCATGCTCTTATCTTATTGCTGCAGAGATACTACACTTTTATGGTATTTGTTTCTTAAATGAATATCATGGTCACTGTCAAGAATGCTAGAAAGACTAGTTTTTGAATTTCGACTTGGAACAGGGGCCTTAATGAGAGTAGTTTATTATAAAAGTTTCAAGTCATTTGATGTACTTCTATCTCGAAATTAGAACATCAAATCTACCGGTTTATATGAGCTATGCAAAAGAAGTCTATTCCAATTCGCAATTTGAAAATCAGATTTTTTGGCGTTCCTAAGGAAGACTACGGCACTCATGTAAAAAATACCGTAAAAATGTAGTACCTCCACAGCAATAAGCTAAGAACACGAGCGATTAATCAGTTGGAAGACGTTCTTCGTTAGACATGAATAGTAACCTACAGAGAATATCTCATAGTAGTATACCGTAGAATTCTCAATGATTATAAGACGTAATACTAATCGTATCAATTCATGTGAACTTTTAAATCCGAAGTTGATCCTTCTAACTTACTCTGATACATGGACTATTGAATTTAGGTACACAAACTTGTTCTAATGTAGGAACCTAGAATGACTTTTTTAAGTCTTCAATAAGTTAAAAAATTATCATATAAAAATTCAATTTATTTCTATCTGTTTTTCAAAACATAAAACGGAATATTAAAAAAAAAAAAGAAAATTTCTAACATTACAGAACTGATAGTTTTGCTACGAGATAAAAACTCATCGAAATTTGTATGACTTCTCATTCTATATTATATACAGTTCTCATCAACAATCTTAGATTCTTCTATCTATATACTAAATCATAATTCATTCAAAAAAACAAAACTTAATTTATCAGTTTATTTTCTTTCATTAAACATATTATCAAACAATTCTCTTTTTAATTTTATTTAATCTTACCAAAAGTTTCATCTAATAAAGCTTCATATGTTGCTGGTATCATCATTGGTGTAATTAAATCAATCGATCGATCAATTAAAATAAGATTTTCAATTTGTGTTGGTACTTTTTTTTCATTATCTGGTACTTCACGTTGCATTCTCATCATACTATCATAACATTGTTTAGCTTTATCACCTTTAACAAATACATTTGGTATAATACCATATAATTGTTGTAATGTAATAAGACCATGTGCTAAATTAAATATTGGTGTTGTATCTTTATTTAAATATAAATCTCTAAAACAATCATATGATTCCATTGATAATAAATCTGTATCAATAGGTAAAAAATCTAAATTAAGTTCATCTATAATAATATCACCAAGAACACCTTTTTCTTTTAATTTTTCTTCACAAACACGTGATTGACGTGGAACAAATATAATACCATATTGTTTTAAAACTGTTTCTTTAGTTTTCAATTGAGTTAATTTATTCATTTCATCTCGTATCATATTTGCAATTATTTCCATATAAATTGGTTTTGGTCGAACAATAAATAATGTTATTTTATAATCTGATGTATCATGTTGACGTTCTTTAAATATTCGTATATCATTTGCACCAAGTTCATTTAATGCTTGAATATGACCAAGTAAATTTTTAATATCATCATCAATAATAACACATTTATCTTTTGTAAATTGTTTAGGTAAATTACTTTTTTCAGTTTGAAATTGATTCATACAACGTTTTATTTGTTGAAGTATAGAATCACGTAAAATAGTTAAATTAATACGACCAGTTTTTAAATGACTAAAATCTTGTTTTAATGGTACATTTCCTGTTTTTGTTGACATCTTTCTATATTTTATTGGCAAGAAAACAAACAACTAGTTTGAAGAAGTTCAATAATACAACAAAAAGAAAAAAAAAAGAGAAGTAAACAATATGAGACCACAGCGCTACGAGTTCGAGATTAATAACATTGATTGTAGTGTTTTATATTTTAACCAATAGAAATGAAAGAATGAGATTAGAGAGATAATGATCCTGCTTGCTTGCTCCTCTTAGGTGACGATGATTCATCAATAGAATAAGAACTCAAGACGAGTACGTACTTAATCATGGGTTCGTTTCATCATCACTTGAAAAAGAATGAATATAGGAATGATGTGGTTTATTATTCATCAATAATATGTATGAAAAATCAAATATTATTTGATTATACATACACATTGAACGCCTACGTACTTAAATATACTTTTTTAGATTGTTATATAAAAATGCAAAATTTTATACTATAAAACGATGTTCGGCGATACACCGAATATAATTGAAGACGATGAAAATTATGATAATGATCAATATGATTATGATCGATTACAATTTGTTGTTGATAAACGAACAAATTCTAGTCTTGTTAAAAATCAAGATGAACAATTTCCTCAGCTAACATCAACAACAACGTAAGAATTCGTTAAAACTTTAAACATTTTGAAAATATTAAATACAAAAAATAAATAGTTTTTTGTTTTTTTATTTTTGAAATTTTCTAGAACGGGTTTAAGTTCATGGCGTGTTTCACGTTTTCTATTAAATTTTCTCTCGATTTCACCAGACATGCTTGCTCGAGCTGAAGAACAATTATATCAAGGTATTAATAATTCAATTATTTTATTTTTATTCATCAAAAAAAAAAAATGTATTTCTAGATTTGAAAACAAAATATTATGGTGAATATATAAGTATTCGGTAAGTTAGAAGAAGAATATTCTTGAATATTGTTATATATGTATATTGTTTTTATTCTTAGTGGTGATAATCTAATTTGGACAATAAGAAGTTTATATTCGTTACAAACAGCTATACCAATTGTGCTTATACATGATTTTGGTTGTGCTAGTGGTATATGGATACAAAATATAGATTTTTTTAGTGCACATCATCCATTATATACGTTTGATATACTTGGTTTTGGTCGTTCATCACGACCAAATTTTGATCAAAAAAATTCAATAAATGCTGAAACAAAATTTATTGAATCAATTGAAGATTGGCGTATAGCTGTTGGTTTACAAACAAAATTCTATTTAGTTGGTCATGGTTTTGGTGCTTATTTAGCTACATTATATACAATGAGATATGGACAATTTATTAAAAAATTAATTCTTCTTGATCCATGGGGTTTTAATCCAAAACCTGATGAAAATCAATTAAATTTAAGAACACCATTATGGATTAAAATAATTGCTTATGTTTTTCAAACATGGACATCATTTTCTGCATTACGTTATCTTGGACCATTAGGTAAATACAAATTAATAAATTCTCTTAATATCTCATTTATGATATCCTTGAAACTATCATCATTAGCTTTAATATAATAATCATCCTATTAGTCTCTTTCTTTTATTTTTAATATAGATTAGTCTCCGAAGGCATGTAGTGCTTGTAGGTATTTTTCTTTCTAAATGATAAACAATCATAAAAAAAAAGACTCGAAGCATTTTCTTTATAAATATAAATACTATCAAAAGTTAAAGAGTATATTTTGAATCGAATGATTAATTTGCCAATAATAGACACAATAAGATCTAGAAGAATCGAGCAATAGAGAGAAAAAGATATTATACTATAAACAATTCTTTAATTTCAATGAAAGTTTTATGTTACAATTAAACTTTTATATACATTATTTAGGTTTACCATTATTAAAAATATTTGCACCACGTTGGAAACGTTTAGCACCAATGGATTCTTCAACTGAAAAATCTAATGCAGTTTATGAATATTTATATTATGTTAATGTTCAATCAGCAAGGTAGAATAATATTACGTTAAAAAAAAAAGCAACATTATATTTAAAGATTGTCTTTTCTTTTTCTTTTAAACAAACAAAAAGTGGTGATTTAGGTTTTCAAGCATTAGCATCATGGTATGGTTGGGCAAAAGATCCAATTGTTCAAACTGATCATTCACGTATAGAAGGTATATCCGATGATATTCCACTTGTATTTATTTATGGTTCACGAACGAATATTGATAATACAGCTGCACATCAAATTCTTCATCAACGTGGTCTTAATAATACTTGTATTAAAGTATGAGAAAATAAAACAAAAGATTTGATTTTTGTTTTTTTTATTTATTTATAGATTATTCATAATGCTGCACATTTCTTTTTTATGGAAAAACCACTTCAATTTCATGAAGTAATGAGTGAAATATTAAGTGATTTACCACAGAATTTTCATACATTGGCATCAGGAGATAAAACTATAACTACAACAATACTTTCAGAGTAAGAAATATGCAATAGATTTTACATGAATATTATGGTCAGATGTATTTTAAAAGAAAAAGCTCTACGAATCATTACAATCCAGCCTATTATCTTAACCTCTTGATTAGTTTGTTTTTTGTGCACATACATATGTGACAAGCCCGTTTATAATTACTGTGATGTGTTTATATTTTTGTGATTTCTTTCTTTCTTTTTTTTTTTTTTTCTTCAGTTTTTTATGTGCATAAAAACAATGAAAGATTTTTCTTTTTTGATGTTAGATATGAAAATAAAATGAATGATGTTTCAGATATTAAAACAGATGGCAACAATGACGAATGATTTTTTAATGACAACTGGAAATGATTCAGCATCGAATGCAATTGATCAAATGATTTCATTGTCAGTTCTTGATCATGATAATACAACTAATCAAAATTCTAATATATTAATATCAAATCAAACAAGTACAACGAGAAAAATTTCTTCTCCTAGGTTCGTATATCAAATGAAACAGGGCCGAGTTTTGTTTTAATTGTATATCATTTATATAGTAATAAGATGAGTTATAATTCAATTTTCTTTTATTTATCAATCATTTTAGAATTTCGTGCTCTATTCCATTGAATAAACTACTCATAGGTATGCTTTTCGATAAAAAAAAAAAGGTTTTCTGAACATATTTACACATGCACGAGATTGAATAAGGATAGTAATTTTCAAAATGATGCTGCATGAAGACATTGAAAAATGAATTAATTCTGCACACTGATAAATTTAGCATATCATAAAAAGTCCATATATGCACGAAATGGCTTTCATAAAAACGCTAGAATTGGCAATATACTATAATAAATCATATTAGCGATCATATTGAAGGTTTCATTTAAATTTAATTAAATATCTGAATTAATATCTATATATAATAGTTACGGTAATATTCTTACACACGAACATTTAAAAAATTCTTCTTGTTTTCAATCGTCTATCAACAATCTCTAGCTGAATTACCTATCAAAGAAATCCAAAAATTTTGCAAGATCAACTTTGAAAAAAAAATTTGAAGCTTTCCAACAAGAAAGTTCTTCCATTGGATTAACAATGTCAGAATTTAGATCGATAATTTCTTTGTTTTTTGTTTCGAGTTCGAGATGAAGGAAATAGGTTTTTCTTTAGGCTTCTAATGCAATTTTTTTTTCATATTATTTTCAAATAATTGCTTATTTTTTGATTAAAAAAAGAAACAAACAAATTGATTGTGTCTGAACATAGATTATATTATTTTTTGTTTTAGTCGTTTTCGTACAATTGAAAATTTAAGACGATTCACATGGAATAATACTGGTCCTGAAAAATTAGTGCGTGCAGAAATGAGAATATTTGATACTTTAAAATCACAATTTCAAGGTCGTTATATCAATGTTTTAAATGATACACAAAAAATTTGGACTGTTTGTTCAAATTTAACATCAAAAAATATTCCTATTGTACTTATTCATGGTTTTGGTGGTGGTATTGGTTTATGGAGTTTAAATCTTGATCAATTATGTGTTGATCGACCTGTTTATGCTCTTGATTTACCAGGTTTTGCACATAGTACTCGACCAATATTTAGTCTTGATCCAGATGAAGCTGAACAACAATTTGTTGATATGCTTGAAGAATGGAGAATTGGAATTGGACTTAATGAACGTTTTATACTTCTTGGTCATAGTTTTGGTGGTTTTTTAAGTGCATCATATACTATACGTTATCCAAAATATGTTGAACAACTTGTTTTAGTTGATGCATGGGGTTTTGGGCATAAACCAGATAATTGGCAAGCATCACCTATGCAACGTATACCACCATGGTTAAGATCATTTTCAACAATAATGATGAAAATTTCTCCACTTGCTGGACTTCGTGTAGCTGGACCATTTGGTAAGAAATTTTGAAAAAAAAAAAAACTTTTAATTTATTTTATATAATTTTATTGAATTAGGTATTCATATAATGAAATATTTTCGACCGGATTTACGTGTTAAATTTGAAAAATTATTTAATGATGATAGAATATTAGAATATTTATATCATTGTAATGCTCAAGTACCAACTGGTGAACAAGCTTTTCGAACAATAAGTGATCTACTTGCGTGGGCAAAAAGTTCATATTTTTTTATATCATGTCTTTTTCTTTTTTTTTATTTAATAATTTTTTTTTTTGTAGAACCTATGATTGATCGAATACATTTAATTGATGAACGAATTCCAATATATTTTCTTCATGGTGAACGATCATGGGTTGATATTAATTCATCTATGATTGTACAAGGAAAACGTGACAATATATATGTAGATACAATTAAAGAAGCTGGTCATCATGTAAATAAACAAAAAGAAAAATAATTTTTAAATTAATCTATTCTTACTTTCTTGCCTTTTTTTTTTGCAGGTTTATGCTGATGCACCAGATGAATTTGATATGTATTTAAAAAGAATTTTAATTAACAGAAATTAATATAGATTTATTAATCTAATCAAGCTATAGATAAATTTATTTTTGTATATAATATTGGCGCTATTTAAATAAACTGTGATCATTGAAAATAATTTCAAAAAAAGAAAAAACGAAAAGAAAATTTTTAATCGAAATCTATTGTAATTATATTTAATGTAATAATTTACATTTTCAGAGAAAAATTTTATGTTATGATAAAAAGGAAATTATATTATTTAATATTTGTTTGTTCCGATTGGATTGATTAGGAAAATATTCCGATTTCCGTCTGTATATGTAATTCATTAGAAAAAAAAAAGACCTGGTTTTAGTAATATGTAATTCGGTTTATGAGTTTATATTTGTGATGAAACAAAAAAAAATGATGAAGAATTTAATCATATTCTATTGTTAACTGTGTTAAATAAAAATTTTCTTTTTTGTAAAGTTCGTGGTAGAAACGAATTGAAATAATTGAAATGTTATTTTTGACTTTATTTGATTCAAATAATAAAAATGAAATTTTAATTATATTTCTTTGTTTGTAGATGAATTTTCTAATTATTTTTTTATTATCGTTAGACATTAAATATTAATGCATGTCTTATAAGATTGAATGAATCGAAGACAAGTAGAGTACTATTTTAGTTACGTATTATTCTAGATAAATAGTACATAACAAAGAAATATCGATTGATTATGTATTAGAATATTTTCTGTTATGAACAATTAATATGTATTAAAATTTTTATATATACATGCAAAGTTATATATCGATGATATACCTAGATTAATTGATTAGTCATCCGTTAAATTATTAGATTTGTTTTGAAAGCAAGTCTATATTTTCCTTTGCAGGGTAATTAAATGTGAGATTTCTTGAACATTCGAGACACCAATGGATTCTATATTGTCTGTTAATTTTTATTTATTTTTAATCAACAAAAATAAATTTATTCGTCTTTGTGAAAACATTCTTTCATTCTAAAACTGAAAATATTAAAATAATTAATAAAATAATACTTAATAGAAAATCAATCGAATTTGAAAAAATAAAAAGATGAAGTAAATAAATGTATGCGATGGAAAAAATATGGACGATTTCGAATTACTATCTGAATCAATTGTTAATGGTGGATGCATTGAAAATCGAATAGCATTAAAAACTGCTTTTTGATCTAATGCTTTCAAATAAACATTTTGGCGTCCAGCATCAAGTACAAAATCTCCAACGGATATCCAACGTGAAAGACTACCTTGTTGGTTATAGACATATCCATCATCTCCATCTGTAACATTATATGCATCTGTTACAGCGACATTTAATCGAGAATTTATATTTGTTGATGAATCAAAAAAAGATGGATTCCAAATTGATACAGTATAAATACCACGTGTAGATAAAATTGGATGAATAATACATGAATTATTAAAAGTAATTAATGATTGTCCAATATTATCTTTTGGAAGTGATGATATATATTTCATTGAATCATTTGTACAAGTATAAATATCTTGAATATCTGTAGTAAATATTATCGTTGATGGAGAAACAAGTGAAAATTTATTAAGAATCATTTCAACAAAACGACCAAGAATGTAATAATCAGTTGCAGGTCTTTGATAACCATTACTGAATATTGAAAGAATTATTTCTTTACCATTAGGCAATATAATATAAGCTATTTCTTCAACTGTATCATAAGCATTCCCAGTTTTTGAATAAAGTATAGTACCAGCCGGCAAACCATTACCAAATGTTGTGTGATCACTTTCGAGTGTACGATGAAGCATAGGTTTCATATATTGCAATTCATTATTTGAACGTGTTTTCATTAAATAAAGCATAAATGATGCTGTACAACATGATTGTAAAACATTACTTTGATAAGGAGATCGACGTAAAACTGATTCACTACCAATTGGTGATTGACCTGAATTTGTTGGATATGTTTTACTTCGGATTATTTGATTTTCATATAAATTAAGTTCTTGTAATAAACGTTCAGTTGATAAACGTTGATAAAACCAATTTGACCAACGAGTATCATTAACTGAAGTTAAATTATCAATATTTGTTGTATTCGTTATGGCATCAACAACATAACCTGTATCTAAATTTGATGAAACTACAATCATTGGTCGAACATATCTATCTAAACAATCAACTGAATGACCTTGCTTTTTACACCATTCCATAGCTGAATACATATACATTAATTTTACTGTTGATGCTGGATATGCTACTAAAGTACCGTCTACACTACCTCTTTTCCATGTTTGTGTATCTTTCTCTCTGATAAGTATTGTTGCAGATAACCGATTAAAGTTACTTGATGGTTGTCTTGCAAGAAAGTCATCACGAACTTCTTTAATTCCATTAGCTAATCCTTCATCATTAATCACATCTATCGATGGTATTTTATTACATCCACATTCTTCACAATGTGCATACGAAATAAAAAGATAAAAAACAACTATAAAAAATCGAATAAAATTCATGCTGACTAAGAAATGAAAACTTTTGAAAATGATAAGCTTCAAACAAAACAAATATCATATATAAGAACAAAACAAAGTTCTCGATATCAAAACTATGAATTGCGTTGCAGGTAAATAATACTTTTGAGAATATATTGACATATATATCACACAAATAAAAACCACTATGTCTATATACTTATTTGATGAATCTTGATTAATTAGAAAAGTAAGAACAACGACGCATGATTTAGTACACGCCCACGGAAAAAGAAATGTGTTTAGTGTAGGAGAATAAAAGGCAATCTAGGCGAGAAAAAAAAACAGCTAAGAAAAGTCCTCAATAATTATGTTGATCTTTTTATTCATATGACAATCATTGTATAAATATTAACAGAAAGAAGAAAGAAAGGTTCATTTATTCCTTGACAAATTTTCCATACATCAACGATCAAAATTAAACTGAACGTGACGTCTATTTTGGCATTATTCTTATTTCACCAAGTTATAATCTATATTATTTAAAAGAACTATTTATAATAGTTAAGTAGCTGGCTATTCAAAAGAAGATTATCAGAAAAATCTTATCATTTTTTAAATACGATTTATAATTGCATCTACTGGAAGATATACATGTTTCGAAAAGAGGCAGTAGAATAGATTTAACATGACACATTGTCAGATTTTAAACAGAGGAAAGATATTTTGAAAGTATGTTTTCTTTTAATTGTTTTTTCATCTTTAGCTTTACAGAATTAGAAAAAAAAGAGTGATTTATTTAGCAGTGGTTTTACTTTGCTGAGCACTTATGTGGATACACATGGGCGGAGAGGAGAGAAGCGTGCTATAATTAGTATTATTTAAAAAGAAGTCTTCTGTATTCATATGGTATTATACATCCTAATCATAACCGTACTCCAACTCGATTGGCCATTTTAAGGACAAAGTATGTATTTCAAAATAAATACGATTGGTTTTTTTTTTATCATGTCAAGATTATCACAAGTATAGTAGAAGGTCATGAAATGCAGAAGTCAAGTATATGATAATAACTTTTCGTCTCTGTGATTAATTCGAGTTTTATTTAACTGTAAACTAATAAAGATTTTAACCTAATTCTTTTAAAATATATATTACCAACCTAATCAAATGTTTATTGTTACTATTTTCATTTTAGCTAAAAATAATGTCACAATTCTATCGTGTACCGATCTTTATTATCATCTGTCTTTATGTTTTTCAACCATCTATTTTTGAATGTAGTCCTCTTACTCAAAAAATCGTTATTCATGGTCATGAATGGACTGTACCCAATGAGCCTGGTTGGGAAGACGGTAATATTTTTTGAAGTTTCCTTTTAAAAACAAAAATTAATTTTCTTTTTCCTTTTTTTTTTTGTTCACTATAGTTTTACAAGAAGTAGAACCAATTCGTCGTCTATTGTTAGCTAACTGTGCTACAAGTCGTGAATGTCGATTAGCTGCTGAAAAGTTACGTGATATCTTTTTAAAATATCCTGTGTCATCGAAATATTATGACGATTCTTTACGAAATGATAAAAACGCATATGATCTGGGTTCAATTTTTAAATGGGGATAATCTATTTGTATTTTTCTAAATGATTAAAAGAGAAAATAAAGAAAAAAGAGAAAAGAAAATCAAAATCTAATGTATATTTCACAGTTAACATAAGAATTCAGTTGAGTTTGGAATGCATGTGAATAGTATTAGTCACATGAGAATTAATGTTGGTTTACTATGGTATTCAACTTTTGTAATTTTAGCTAATCTAAATGATGGGTCGAGTTTCTATAATTTATTTTGAATTATTTTAAAATATTAACATATAGAAAATTTTCACTTTTAACCATTCCTATTTAGCAACTATTAAAATTTTATGAATTTTATTCATCCCCTTATAGTTCATCGATTGATGTTCGGTGCTATGAAACATCCGATCAAGAAACACATTCTATGTCCGTTTGTTCCTAATCACATAAATTTGTTTTTCATGTCAATCTCTTACAAAAAAAATGAGCATTCCAAATTCTAATCTAAAATCTTAAATTGATAAACTTTCTCACAATAAGTCTATCGAATAGATAATCAACAATCCATTTATAATCCAATTATTACTCAATCAATCAAAAAGCAGACCGGCTGCTATTCGAAATAGCATAAACCATTCAATTTCAAGTGTTTTAACAACGAATTTGCTAACACTAAACATTTAATCAATCATTCGATACCCCAATATCACGAAAATCGAAAAAAACCTGCTTTATAAAAACAAATACCCAGGTCAATCAATCCGACACGGATCCGATGGTATCTTATAGGATCCAACGAGTCCTACAAAATTCGATCGGAATCCGGGTCACGATCCGACGAACAAATCCTAGTGTTGGAATCCGAGAGACATCCGATCGGATCCGACAGATCCGATCAAATTCAACAGTCGGATTCGATAGGAACTCCAGCAGTCGGATTCCGACGAGATTCCTATAGTATCCTATCGGATTCCGATCGGATTCCAATACTATGGATCCGTTAGTCGGATCGTGACCCGAATCCAATAAAATCCTATAGGATCTGGATAGGATTCGATGGGATCCACTGTCGGATTGTTCGTCCTGGGTAGCTCAAACTCTCTCAATTTCGTTTCAACCAATGATTAAATGTCCCCATATCTCACAGCCCGAAAAAAAATCTATTCTATAGAAACAAAACAAATAGCTCAAGTACTCTTGACTTCATTTCAACCAATGATTCAGTGTCCCCATGTTCCACTGCTCGAAAAAAAAATCTGTTCTATAGAAACATATAGCTCAAATGCTCTCAATTTCGTTTCAACCAATCATTCAATATCGTCATGTCCCGAGCACCGATATAGAAAGTACACTATAAGGAAAATAATGAGGAAGATTTACTTTTACAAAAAAAACAATAAATAAAATGACTAATGACTTTTCATCAACAAAATAACAATGCGAAGATACTTTTTATTGTTCCAGAAGTAATAGTAAATATAAATTTGATAAGAAACAAACAAATTTTCTTGAATATGTGTTAGAAAAATTTTTAAACAAACAAAGTGAACTAAGTGATTCCAATTTCAACTGCAACATATGTTTGATCATCAAACATGCATCTTTTTCATGCTTGAAATTCGAATACATGTTATTGATACTTAAGAAAATCTATAATACTCGTTCTTATTAAACAAGTTTTAGATAAGAGAGTATATCAAAATCTTCTTAAAATTATATCACACAATGGGTTTAGTCTCAAAAACAAAGCCTGATATCAAAATTTTTTCGGACTTTCCTATCATAGTTCTTATCATAGTGGGGTCAACATTTTATCATTGGTATCGTCTCAACATAAATATATTAATCAGACTCGAAAAGATTTTTCATCATAACATTATATTTTCAGACTAAAACTAATGGAATAATTACTTAACGAGTTATATCTAGTAATTTTTCTTTATTTACATAAGATCAAATGTCTTTTTTTCTATTCATTTTGTAGTTTGTTTATTGTTTTGATCAATTCATCAAAGCATATCAATATGATATTAATCTAATTCATATCAGACATGGGCACCCAACAAATTTTTCTATGGTGTTCTGCTGTCTTACTCCGTCCTGGAGGCTGACACGACAGGACAGTAAGAATCATTATTTTGACTTTCAATCACTAAATTACATATTAGTTTTAGTTATCTTACAGCTAATTTATTGCGTAGTGTTTTCAAATTCAACAACTGAAGTTTCCAATAATGATTAATATTATAAATACAAGAAAATGTAGAAACATCTTGATTTATTATTTTAATGGTACATTCGTCACAGGATACAAATATAAAAAATTATGAATCTCTGGAATTTTATTATCACCATCTTAACATATAGTGGACATTATTAATAAAGAAAAAACGAAAGATGAAAAAAGTACTTGCTAACAAAAATGATACAAAGAAAAAACAAATACATGTCATAGACAAAACTAAATTTAGGTAGAATTCGTTTTTTAGTTAGACGTGAAACTACGAAATAATTTTCATTTGCATTAAGAAACCATAGCACGTACCTGCTTTTTTTTACTAGACAGAATGTTCTCACTTGTTCATGCTGTAATTTCAGCATCAATGACTTCTTCTATGTAGACATCTGGAAATGATTTTCAAAAATATTTCTATGAACAAACGTAGTACCATTTCAAATATTTAGGATATTAAATTTTCAGAGAAAGCAGCTAATATTCTACCGCAGGAATTATATAAGCTTAAACACTCTTCGTTGTTTTGGGTTGGAAAATGCCTCAAAGAAACTTACCAACATCATATATCTGTACTTCACATATCATCCATAAATCATATAAAATTCAAAGACAAATCAGCAGCGATAAAAAATACTACTTAAAAAGCATAAACTCAAAGATCCTTTCTTTTTTATAGTCGCAGCTTGTTAAGACAAATTAAACTTCAATAGAAAACAATGGCGAACTCTACAACTTCCTAGATTTAACTAACCTTGAATTAAACCTGAAAAGAATTTGGTATAGTTATGTAAGATCAGTTTTTTATTCTCATCTTTTTCGATTTTTTTTGTTTTGAAATCTTTTAAAAACTCTGTTTAATTTTTCTTAAATCTAAACTCTGTCTGACACATATACAAAACAAAAAAAAAGCAAATGTCTTGATAAAAGCATTTTATTCTCTTGACATTGACCGAATTAATACAATGTTATCCAGTTGTTTAGGATTAAGATTAGTTCTTCTTTCTTTGGTAATCAAACCGGCCTCTGAAAATCTTCTCTCTACCAGAGATGAGCGCAGAGTCACGTTTTTTGTCCTATCCTGTACCCATTTCTGATTGATATATCATTGAGTTAATTCAAACAATTTGTTACTAATTTATAGTGATCACATTGATTCGCTTTAAAAAAATATTCATCAACTTTTTTTCTGTGTAATGAAAATCATATTTTACATTCAATAAAAAATTTACAAAGCTTAACATTGACAAAAAATGATAGATATTATTCCCATAATTTTACATTCTTCAAAGTTTATATTAAGAATTCATTTAATTACGATAAAATCTTTCGTAAATTTGAAACATCTACATTCTCACCATTAACTACTTTGACTTTACTCGTTTCATACCTTATTCAATATTATATCTCTTGATTACATATATCGACTTTAAAAATATAGACAATTTATGTACAACAGTTGCAATATTGATATAGGCTAATATATGAATGACATTAATTGAAAGAAGTAGATCTTTCTATATGGAATTTAAATGTGTCTGAGATCATAGCTTTCAAATTACGAACAAGAATCAAGTCAATTATCACAAAAATGTTCGCAATTTGGAATGCAGAAATTTACATTGATCGCATATTTAATGCATTTCCAAATTGCAAACATTATGATTAATAAATTATTGAATTATTTGATTGTGAGTTCTGTTTTATTAATAATATTAATATACAGTGTACCTCAATAATATTTCCTCCCTATTTATTTTTAACTTTAAACCACTATAATTCGTTCTTGTGTAAATAATAAGTATACAGCGAAAAAATACAGACTTCACTGCATCATACAGTCGATTAATCATAAGTAACGAATGCAAATCAGACGACAAAAAAAAATGCATCAGAAGACAAGCCGATGATTTTTTTTTCGACAATTTGTCATAGGAGCAAATCTAATTTTTACCTTCCTGTTGTTTTTTTTTCACTTTATCCCATAAAAGTTCAATAACTGTTTGAATATGTAAAAGTTTACTTTCATAAATGCATTTAGTTATCTAAAGTAACATAGCGATGTCACTTTATTAATCGAAATCTCAAAAACTCCAGCATGGAGTTGACGCATATTTCCTTATGTTCAGTATCGCGGTTCAAAAAAATATGAAATTCGTTTTCTATTTTTATTCATTTTCTCTGTTCTCTTTCTATCTGTCTCTTTGTCTATATCTATACTGGATGAATATACCACATATATTTACAATTTGGCATGGATTCAAAGAAGTAATTCGAAGTCAATATCCATTGACAACAACAAATCTTCTATTGCTACTTTCAGAAACTTTCTTATCTTTGTCGAGACGAGAGATCGAGAATGTATGTCGCAAATGCGCTATTGCACGTGAGACTGATGCATGTTATGATCGACCGTCTACATAAATAAATATTTTCTTTTTCATAACCCAAATGAAACATTAATTGTCGAAAAAAAAAAACATTATCGTTTCTTCTGATGTATTTTTTTTGTCGTCTGATTTGCATTCGTTACTTATGATCAATTGACCATATGATGCAGTGAAGTCTGTGCTTTCTCGCTGTATACTCATTATTCAAAAAAAAAGCGAATTATAGTAGTTTAAAGTTAGAAATACATAGGAGGAAATATTATTGAGTTGCACTGTATAATTGTGAGAACAAACGGTTATACTGCATTTTGATTTATGGACTTGGATTAATGAAGTGAAATCATCAACAGAATCTGTTTTGTGTTGTTATGAGCAAGAACAAGTAAATATGTACAAGATGATAAAAAAATTATGTTACTAAAGAAAAAAGTACATACATTCAAGGCAAAGATTTCGATGCTTATCAAAAGTTTTTAAGAACTGTCTCTCATCCTTGTATAAATATTGTAAAAGATGTCAAAGATTGTAGTGATGAAGAATAAGTTTCTTTTATTTATGTATTTGTTTTGTCAACATAAATTGTTTTCAATTAAAGCTGCTGACTACTTGATAACTAAAAAGTGTTTGCAATTTGAAAACACATTAAAAAGCTGTTAGCGTAATTCCTGCTGGATTAAACTGTGGAACATGATGCAGCTGTTGTTACTAGTCGCACGGATATGTTTTCTTGGATACCTTCGGACCCGTTAATAAATCATTGTTTATTAATTCCTCTGGAGCTGCAAAAAGGAAACAGTTGATATATTTCCATGAAATTCTAGCGACATTTAATCGTACTTCATATAAGAACAAGTCTATCTATTTCTGTAATGGATACTGGGTTTTCTCTGTCACAGTCTGTGATGGTCTCCGGAGTTCTCTGTCACAGTCTGTGGGGGAGGGGGGGGGGTAGTGGAAGTAGGTCCAAAATTTCTACCCTATACATTTCAACACTCTTTCAGATCGTGTTTCACAAAATGAGATCAACGTAAATTTTTGTATTCCAAATTACAAACACTATCGTGTTAATTGGTTTAATTTTTGTTCGCTCTTAGAACATAGTCGAATCTATGGTTCGTTTGAATCATTATTCATTAAGCAATTTTTATCATATTAAAAAATTATCTAATAACATTTGCTAAATTTTTAATAGAAAACATCATTATCATCTAGTTAGTTTTGCTCATTAATAATGAAATAACTTTAGTTATAAACTTTGTACTGGTCAAGAATTAAATGAGTTATATACTGTGAATGCAATTGAATTTGGGTCTTCGTAAAAATAATCTTTCAACAAAGAGTCTATGAAATACTTTCTAATTTGAAAATAAAAGGCTTTCAATTTCTATAATAAGACTCTGTTACGATCGTCTGTCATTTATATCAGGCATTTCTAGCGCTACTAATAATATTTAATAAAAAGAAAAAAATCTATTCAATTGAATTAAAATACATATTTAGATATGACTGATTGAAATAACATATGTTAATCAAAAATGTTGATTTAGAGAAAGCAAAGCAGCAAACAGAACGAAATATTCAATTTTTACTCTATTAAATAGGATAAAATAGTTACGAGACAAATCTTTGTAAATATACAATCAAAATTTACTCTTTGATATACTACTGAAACATAAAGGTAATTATGGAATATAACTCGTTTATTCAGCATAAAATAAATACAAAAATTCTAGATATCTCATAACGGTTACAATTCCTATTTCATTCATCTATATCAATTTCTTTTCTATATACAAATTTACAACAGTTATTCTATTTGCTTTATATAATTTACTGTCTGTTTATTATTTTTTAATTTCGATTGTTTTTTTTTTCTTGAAAGAATATAATTTCCACTGCTAAAGATTTACTTTCCGTTGATTATTTGGAGGAAAAGAAATGAGCAAATGAGTAGTGTATGTGTGAGTCTTCGCTTCAACGGTACCTAAATCGAAACCTAAGACCAATATTCACGCTACTTGTTTTCTTATTTTTCTTCTTCCAAATAATCAACGAAACGTAAGTCTTCACACAAAAAAAAACACTAATCGGAATAAATTTCTTATGTAATCCACGAACAATAAATCGTATATATGATTCTATTTATACAAAAGAGAAATTTACCATATAGATATATTCTAATACATAGATTGAAAAAGTTTGATAATTAACTAAGAGGTAGAATAGAAACTTCGATATAAGAGAATAAAGATACAATGACATTCAATGAAAGGAGTTTAATTTATATTTTTTTTTCTGTCTTGTATTTTCTCTTTCGTTTCCTTTTCAATTGCTAGTTCGCATATTTGTCAACAAATTGTCAAATAATGATATTAATAATTTACTCATTTCTATTAAAATATGGATTCGTTTTTTTTTTACATTATTTTTCCATTGATCAAGGCATAGGAAGGAACTCATTACACAAGCTATTCTTTATTCATCGTACCCGATGTTTCTTTTTTTTTCAATAAACGAAACATAAAAATCGCGACAGTCACGTTTTACTAAATCAAAAGTTAATATCATATTATTGGTGATCGATCTTTTCAATGTTAAATCTGTTATTTTTTCTTCATTTTAGTACAGATGAAAAGGTAAAATCACTTCGTTCATGTTCGCATTAGAAAAATATTATATCTACATCAAATTTGAAGTTGTAAAAAGTTTTTTTTTTATTTTCTATATGAATAGATGATTTTTTTTTGTAAAAGTAATTCTGTTTTAGTTTTTCAGAAAATGATCTATTAAATAAGGCAACAATGATGATTATTAGATTTTACGTTATTTATTTATTAAATTTTGGTATTTATCTAACAATTGTGAATTCATATGATAATGTTAAAATTTTCAACGATGATGACAATAATATGGACATGTTAAATGAAATAAAACATGAAAAATTACCAGAAAATTTTATTAAATTGCATAGAGTTAAACGTGATTATCTATCGAATCCAATGTTAATCGATCAGGAATCAGTATTTTCGACAAGTAAGTATTATTTATTTATTTTTTCTATTTATTATTTTTATTATTATGTCAAACTTGAATTGATTGTAATGAAGTATTTAAAATGTTAATTAATAAAAGATAATTATTTTTATACACATATATCGAGTTGTTTAAATAATAATAAAAATTCTCTGGGTTTGTTATCAAAATTCTTAAAAAAGAAAGTATTTTATATAATTAGCAAACGTATTTTTTTTTCTTTTTGTTGATTTTTCAAAAATCTCTTAGAGTTGCTAGTCAAAAATTTACAAAACAACACAAAGTATACATTTTAATTTTCCAGGGTTCAGCGTATGTTGATTTTATATTAAAAGTTTATCAAATATTCTAACTAATTGAATCCTATTCATATAACAATATTATACAAAATATATCTTCCATTAAATTTTCAGTCTATATATGTTTGTATTTTTTTAACTGTAGATATGTTACTATCACCAACAACAACTTCAATTTCACAGATAATGACGGTGACAGAATCAACTACACCTCCGATATATATTATCACAAGTTTTAGTACACTAGGTATTTCATATATATCTTCTAGTTTCTCATTGATTATCTATTATTATTATTAAAGTCACTACAGTACAAACAACTACTTTATCATATAATCCTGATAGTTGTTATATGAAAAATTTTGTTCAATTATTTAATGGTACCTGTATATCAAAAACTGATGCACTAGTATGATAAATAAAACGTATATATATATGTTTGCTTATATTGAGTTTTTTTTTATGTAGACAATTGCAGTCAGTATATTAAATAATCGATCTTATGATGCGACTAGTATAGCCAATGCTCTTTCATTATATATAAGTTCAATTACAAATTTAACAATAATACGAAATCAAACGAATGTTTTATCAGTGAATGCAATTAATAAGATCATTGATAATTTCGATGGTGTTAATTTAACTGTAAATTCAAATACATCATTTCTTATGATTCAACGACCAAAGAAAGGTGATAATATGATGGTTTTGGGTGCTTCAGTTAAACGTGGTATGGGTGGTAAAATTGTTGATGCAACAAATAAAGAAAATATAATGCATTCATTTTTATCAGCTGCAGCTATTGTTAATCAAGAGTCATTAAATGGTGTAATATCTTTTAATATGCTTATTATTGATAAACCTACTGGATATGAATATGTTGATAATTCAACAAATAAAATACTTGCATCATCTGTTATTGTCACTAGTCTACGACGAAACAATTCTAATTTTACTTCAATAATTATTTCATTATATTTTAATCCTTTAGATGAATACAAACGAAATGAATCTGGAAAATACTTATGTTCATTTTATGATACAAAAAGTTTCCAATGGAATGAATCTGGTTGTAGTGATGCACAGTATAATAACGAATATAATCGATATGAATGTGTTTGTAATCATTTAACTTCTTTTGCTCTTATTTGGTTACCAGAAGCATTATTAATAGAAACTGGTACACAGAAACTTGATGCACAAGATATTGCTTCACTTATATTTCAATCTATATCTATTTTATGTTTTCTAGCAATTATTATTCATGCAATTAGGCTGCGTATTATAAAATCATCAATAGATATCCAAGCACTTAATTTACTTCCATTAATCTCAACGGCAAGTACAACCATACTTTTTATTTTTTTTATTATACTTTCTATGGTTGTATATACACAAACATCATCTTCAAATCAAACTCAATGTTTTTTTAGTTCAAGTATATTGATGTTTATTGTTTACTTCTTATTAATTTTTATGTTTTGCGTCAAAACAAGTGTTGGATATTTTTATTATTTACGTTTTGTTCGTCTTTTTCCACCACCATCACATCGAAAACTTTTAATTATGCTTATAATCTCATTTATTATTTCTCTTTTATGTGTTGTTTTGGCAATTGGTTTTAATAGCAATTCATCGTATAATATTACACAATTATATCCATATAAACTTTGTTGGTTTACTCGAAATGTTATTTATTATTTTCTAACAATACCTATTTGTATATTTCTTTTACTTAATATTATAACAATGATTCTTGTTTCCAAAAGTATAATTACTTATGTACGTAATGCTACTTATGTACGTAATGTTCCAATATCTGGGCAAATAAATGAACGATTAAAACGAAGTGTTCTTGTTTTATTATCATCGTGTGTAACACAAGGTGTTGGATGGTTATTTGGTCCATTTATATCATTTATAAGTCCAACAGCTGGAAATATTTTAGGATGGATTTTTATTATAATGAATGGATTCGAAGGTGTTTGGTCAATAATTTTGTATGTACTAATTCGATTACAACAAATGGATAAGCAAAGACACATTTCAGCTGCAATAGAACTTTTAAAAACAATTGATGTTCCATCAAGTAAAGATAAAAAATCGAAAAAGAAAGAAGAACACAAAAGAAATAATGTTCAAGCCATACATAATAATCTAGACAAAGAACAACCATCTATACGCAAGAGAGAAGTAATGGATTTGCCCATCGATGAGGATTTTGATAAAATATCAAATTAAATAAATTTTTACGATTTTATTGTGGTTTTTGTTTTTACAAACAAGTATCTAGTCATCATATTTTACTGAAGCCTTCACAAGATTCTATTCTATACATATATTAAATTCAATTACTTGTTGTACTTATATTTTAATAATGATATATCTTTAATTTAGGATCCATATTATTCTATAATAGAATTCAATTTAACTATCGTTTTTTTTGTACTAACAAAATTAATTTATCTAATAAAATTCTCTTTTTTAAAAAGATTCGTATTATTTGATCATATTTTTTATCAACAATTATGTACATATAGTCGTTGAATTAGACGATTTGTAGTCTTTTGCTTAAAAATTTTGAGTTGCTATCATTGTATGACATCAGCTTATCTGATTTATTAAAACAAAAATTGTAGAAGTTTTTATTTTCTGCAAGTAGCTTCTTCTAAATTGTTTTCACGGATAGATTTTATATATAATTCATCTTCTGAAATTTATATTGTGATATCATTCTTTTAGATTTTCAATTAACACATATTCGAATGTTGAATAATCAGATTTTATTAGAAAAGAAGAATTTAATTCCATAAATTTTAAAAAAATATCATCAACAGAAACAATTTTAATTTTCTTATATTATAATTTTTCTTTTTGGCAATGTATAATTCTTCTACGACAAGAAATCGAATACATATCTTCTTTTTAAATCTGTAGAGTGTGAGTGACAAGAAGACTCATACTCTTTCAAAAATTTAATTTCTTTAAGACTTGTGTATATTCAACTGAATGCAATGTATAGGATGGTTTACACAATTTACTCTCGGGTGATTCTTTGGAAAAAGAGACAAGAGTAACTGAGTAGTGCGCTTGCTGGTGTGTGTTTGAACGACACCCACAGTAAATCGTGTACACGGTATAGGATTCATAGAGAAGATTATGGTTATATGCTTATGATCAATTTAAAAATTTGTCTTCGTCAAATAATAAAAGAGATTATTTGGTAGCTTTAACACGAAATAGTTTTCGTATTAGGTTGTAATTAAGAAAAAAAAAAACTCTTAATTTTTTTCTTTCGAAATAAAATCCTATTCGATATGAGATTTCAAAAATTTTTTTTTATATAAATATACAAAATTGATTGTCTTTCTATTGACAAATCTAATTAAATATCAAATAAATTTAATGAACTTTTTTATTATTCTCTGACAATATTCAACAATGATTTGAATAACGAATATGATTGAATGACAATGATTAAATTTTCCACCAGAAATAGCATAGAAACAAACGATGAATAACGAACAAAAAAAAAACTCAGCTTAAATAAACTAAAAAACAGAAGAATACAACTGCAGAAATCATGTGGTATTTGTTCATTTTGACTATAGGTTTTTCTCAACTTATTCCTATATTATCATTAAATGAGACATGTTGGCCAACAGCAAATAATTTAACATGTGTTCTAAATAATGTACTTTTTGGATATAATAAACAATTGAGACCTAATCATACTGGTAGAATTTCATTTATTGAAGAAATATATTTGATTATATTTTTTCGATTCTTTTTTAAGGAGATCCAATTCATGTTCAAGTTTATTTGATGGTTATTACTTTAGGTATGTCAAATATGATCATGTCTATTGATCAATATTTTTATTTATTATTTATTCTAGGACCTATTGTCGAATTAGATATGGTAAGATATGATTTTTGTTTTTTAATTTTTTCTTCGCTTTTTTTTTAAATATATAGTCATTTAAAATGAATTTATTTTTTCGTCAAATTTGGACTGATGAACGTCTTACTTTACCTAATAAAATATCAAATGTATCTGTATCAACAAAATTACTTAGGTTGATTTCAATTTCTTTTTTTTCTCTCTTGTTTATTTCTAATATTTCAAAATATTTTTTTTTGTCTTAGTGCAATATGGAAACCTGATACATATTTTATGAATTCTCATTCTGGTTTTCTTCATACAACACCAACACTTAATCATCTTTTACGTATTCTTGAACATGGTCGATTACTATATTCAAGTCGGTATGTTTATTTATGTCATAGTTTTATTTAGAAGAAAATAAAATTATTGTATTTTTTCATAAGATTAACGATTACAGCTTATTGTTCAATGCTCTTACACAGATTTCCATTAGATGTTCAAACATGTTCATTAATTTTATCAAGTTGTAAGTTAAAATTAAAAAACAAAAAAGAATTTTTCTTTTTCTTTTTTCGATTTATTTCTTTAATTAAAGATGCTTATGGAACACGTGATGTTATTTATGATTGGAAACTTGATGAACACAATGGTGTAGAATTAGAACGTTTAAAACTGTCTCAATTTGATTTATTTAATTATAAAATTTCAAAAAGAGAAATTCAATTGAATGATCGTATGTATTTATATAGCAAAAAAAAACTACATGTTTTTTTTCTTCATTTTGTTAAAAGGAAATCACTCTGTACTTCAACTTGACCTTCGAATGCGTCGTAGTGTTGGTTATTATTTATTACAAGGTTATATTCCAGCAGCATTACTTGTTATTTTATCGTGGATATCATTTTGGATTGATAGTGAAGCAACAGCCGATCGAGTTTATATTGGTTTGTCAATGATTAGATTATATATTGTAAATTTTATTTGATTGGATTTTTCATTTAGGTATTACTTCTATACTTAGTCTTACAACACTTGCACTTGATATTCGTTCACATATTCCAGCTGTACCTTATTTAACTGCTATTGATTATTTTTTTATTATTTGCTATTTATTTTTACTTGCTTCATTAATTCAATATACTGCTGTGCATCGTTATCTTGAAGTATGCATATAATAATTAAAGATTCTTTTTTTAATTCTAACTTATGTTTATTCAATTTTTTTTTAAATAGTATGGTCATTCATTAACTAATACACGTACTAGTGAAGATTTATGTGAATCAGCAAGACAACAAAATATTTCAATTGCAACTCGTTCATCGAATTTATATGTGTTAAGATCTAGTCGTGTACCAAAAGTTCGTTCAGTATCACATGCTCGTCGTGCAACAGTTGGTGTTGTTGCACAAGGCTTACTTTTTTTAAGACAAAAAGCACCATTACATAAACTTGATCGTCTTGCACGCATTGGATTTCCAGTTTTATTTGTTCTTTGCAATTGTGTTTATTGGTATATTTTTGTTTTTTATACATCTGAATAAATTTTTACTTCAAATCGGTAGAAAAAAAATCTCATAGATGTTGCAAAACTAATATGTACGTTTGCTTGAATTTATGTACGTATGTATGAAGAATAACTTTTTCGAATTGGATGTGGTGAAAGAAATTCACGTATAAGTATTCTAATGTTGATTTAAAGACCAAAAAGAAAAAGAAACTAAGAAAAACAAATTTTGTTTTGGTTTACTTAATACAACTATTTACAAAATCTCAAGGTTGAAAAGTAGGCTTTTTATGGTTCTTTTCAATGACTATAATGATATAACTTAGGTTTTATTCATAATTATCAAGCACAAAAAAGAGGCACGGTATATTCTTTTCTTATCCGTCTCATACTCAAAAGAACCAATAGGTTGACGATACAAGTAGTTATTTTTACTAAAATTTTACGTCGATATGTACATTTATTATTTGCCATCATTTATTTCGATTTCTTTTGTAAATTCACTGTTCATTAAAGATATTGTAATATGACAACGAAAGAGAAATGGAGAAGAATAGATCAGAAACATGGATATTATGATAGAAGTTTACTTATTGAATTGAATAAATGAAATACAAAGAACGAAAAACTTCGAAAGTATGCAGTAAACATAAAATAACTTCCATGTGAAATATTTCGAAAAAAAATTCATCGGCATCTCTTAAACTTGCTTAGTTTTCTTTCACAAGGTAAAAATATGTGCAATTGCCGGAATGTTTAATGAAAAAAGAATAATAAAAAACGTATGAATTTGGTTTTTTTTCTCCTACTCGTCTCTTTAATTCTGAAGAGAATAAAAAAAGCACACAAATGAAATCGATTCAGTTTCTGTTATTTTTTTTAGTTGCAACATCCTTTTTATATCGTCAGACAAATGCAAAGTGATGTAGTGTTTGCTCATTTGTCTGAAAGACTGATTTTTTACTTTCATTACTCATTTTCACGAAACGCATGAGACGGGTCATTTTTAATTAACAAAACAAAAGACATTTTTTCTTTTTGTGTGCTTCAGTCAATATTTCTAGAAGAATAAACAAAACAAAAAAAAGACCAAAGTCATGCTTAGTTTATATATTTGAATAAGCTAAGCGTGGGATATATCATGTCACGATGGAATGACTAAATTCATTGCATCGTCGGCTCATTTTCAGATTATTCGATTATGAAACTACATAGTATTGTTGCTATGTGAATATTATTATTAAAACAACATTCTTTTTGTATTGCATTGATCGTGATTAAGTTGTCTGCACTGCTTTTTAACGTCAATCCGACGATTGAAATCAATCTTCAAATTCAATCATTTGATAGTATATAACAATATTCATCTTTATTGAATAACTCATCGAACATGAAGATTATCCAATTGAGATTTTATGTGATCTTTTTATCGATTTTTGGTATTTGTCAACCGCAATCTGACACAAGTAAGATTTATACAATAATAAATAAGGTTAGATTAAAGGTACTTGTGTTATTATCAAAAGAAAAAGATAAACATGGTCACCAAATTTTGAGAGTATAACTTATTCACCTTGGACAAGTTATGCAATAAACACAGATTCTGAAAAAATAAATTATGCAATGGAAAAGCCATTGTGAAAATGTCAAACGATATTAGACTATGTTGTCGACTTCCAATTCAATCATTTTTTTCTTGTTAACAGAGCAATGTCTCAACTACAAACCTAAGCAGACTTCGAAAAGCATATGATGGGGGTGCCGAAGAGTCGAAAATTTAACATACGTATTTTTTGTTCGTTTTGGTTCAATTTTGAGCTCCTCGGCAGGCATCATATTCCTATCAGAGATCGACAACTCGTTGAGTTACACCGCGCCCCCCCCCCCGCCTCGTCTTGAAACGAGGCGAGCCCAAGTAGACAATAAAAAGCATAGGATGAGTGTAACGAATGCTCGAAAATGTGAAATATATTTTTTTTTGTTCGTTCTGTTTTGATTTCGAGCCCATCGACAGCCATCGGATTTCGAGTAATCAATCAAAACAAAGATATCGGAAGAACTGTATCGAGCGCTCCAGTAGCAATAAGCCGAGCATAAAAGTAGTTTCAAGTGGTGAAGTTAATTTTGAGTCTGTGAAATTTCTTTAAAAAGAGATTTGCAAATATCTCCTTCATTAGGCTACCTTAGAAGAGTGATCTTTATTGCATGAATTTCGTTCTTAATTTCATAATTTTCTAGAAAGTAATTGACATAAAATGATGAAAAACCACAATTAAGAACAAAATCTAAAAGCGATGTTACAGAAAACAAAATCTTAACGAATATTGTTATGAGTCTTTGAAAAAAATTTTAAATCTTGATTTTATACTTTGTCTCAAAACTCAATTATTTATCAAATGTCATATTTATCAAATGTCATATTTATCAATTAAATTCCTTATATGATAGCTGAAACTTGCGAAAAAGCCAATTGGTTAGTTAGGCAGTGAAAAATATGTTTTTTTTTTCGATTAAATTTCTTTTACTAATGTTTGAAAACTGTTAGCAAATGTTAAAATTCAATGTACTGTTAGGGGTGATGAATTTACATTTAGAGAAATTTATCAGATCCAAGGAAAATCTGAAAAATTTTAATTCAACTTAAATTCATTAAGATTGGGTGTTTAAATTTTAAAAAATTCAATCTCGTAAATTTAAATTTAAAATAAATTTTCAGAAAAATGGCATCGCTAAGTACCATCTATTGAAGAATTAAAAAGATAATTATCATAGAAGAAAAATAGTTCATATTTAGTTTAGATGTTCGACAATTGTTTATCGTAAGTATCTATGTTCTAATCTTCTCCTTCGCATTTATTCGATAGATTTCGACAACTCGAGACTGAGACATCTATCAAAAAAATTCTTTTTATCTTAATTCCTTCGGTTAAAATCGCTCGACTGGTTGAAAACATCATGTTTTACTAACCCATCGCTGAGCCCTCGACCTATCGAAAAGTGAGAATCCGAGCACTCTGTTTTGAATTTTGATGCCCACGACAACCTCAAATCTATGCGTCGAAATGCCTATCGGATGACCGCTTGAGTTATGAAATAAAAGAAATAGTAATTGTTACAGGGGGAAAGAAAGCTAAAGTTTTGATTGCTTTGATTTACTTTGATTACCGATGATTACCAATGATTATCCACATTCTTTTATATAGAGAAACTACTAATTCGATCTGTCTTTGACTAATATAAGATTTCTGTCTCTGGACAACATAAAATACCGTGACTTTCCACGTACATCTCAATATAAAACTTGAATATACAAATGTCAAAAAAACGAAATAAATTGCTGTTATATTCTTAGCGATAGTAAAATAAAAGCAGATTAAAATTTCTGGTGACCGCTAGAGTTAACCTTTTAAAAGTTTATGTAACATGTCGAAAAGAAAAATGAGGTTCAAATATGACTCATTTGAACGGAGATATATTTTACTTATTAGTCATAACACGCTTTAAACGATCTGAAGACAAATTGAGTTGCCATTTGAAAGAAGCCAAGCGGTTGTCTGTTTATGTAAATATTTTTTTGTACCATTTATGTTTACGATAAAGTAAGACTTACAAGGGAACCCTCCCAGGTGCCACAGCGCTTTTCAGTCGGAATTTTGTGCATCTTGTACTCCATAATGAGCTATGTCTATGATTT